CCAAGTGCCCCTTCCACCACATTCTCGAACTCTCCAGCCCCCAATTTTTTGCCTCCACGACCAGACTTTGTACCCTTCCCTCCACCCATGCCTCCGTCAGCACAAGGCCCTCTTCCCCCCTGCCCAATTAGGCCCCCTTTCCCCAACCACCAGATGAGGCACCCCTTCCCAGTGCCTCCCTGTTTTCCTCCCATGCCACCTCCGATGCCCTGTCCTAATAATCCCCCAGTCCCTGGAGCACCTCCTGGACAAGGCACTTTCCCCTTCATGATGCCCCCTCCTTCCATGCCTCACCCCCCACCCCCTCCGGTCATGCCACAGCAGGTTAATTATCAGTACCCTCCAGGGTACTCGCACCACAGTTTCCCACCTCCCAATTTTAATAGTTTCCAGAACAACCCCAGTTCTTTCCCGCCCAGTGCTAATAACAGCAGTAGTCCTCACTTCAGGCATCTCCCCCCATACCCACTCCCAAAGGCTCCCAGTGAAAGAAGGTCCCCAGAAAGGCTCAAACACTACGATGATCACAGGCACCGAGATCACAGTCATGGGCGAGGTGAGAGGCATCGGTCCCTGGATCGTCGGGATCGAGGCCGAAGTCCTGACAGGAGAAGACAAGACAGCCGCTACAGATCCGATTATGACCGAGGGAGAACGCCATCTCGCCACCGCAGCTATGAGCGGAGCAGGTAAAGTAGATGTGTGGAGTTCTTCTGTGAACTGCAGAGGCCCAGACATAGTCAGTTTCCAGTTATGGCAAACCAAAAGGGTCCAGCAGTGCATTCTGATTTATCAAAGGAAAGAAAGCACATTTTGGACTTTGTTTTCAAGAAGAAGAGGCAACTGACAAGTAAATAAGTTGATGTCAGAAAAAGCCGCTTTTGAAAACATTCCAAAATTATCAATGTAGATTCATCTTAATGAACATGCCTTTTACTCTGCATAATACTGTTCGACATTTTAATGATGACCCCATGGCATGGAAAACATTCCAAAATTGTCAATGTAGATTCATCTTAATGAACATGCCTTTTACTCTGCATAATATTGTTCGACATTTTAATGATGACCTCATGGCATGAAAGTGCTTGTATTTTTTTGTGTTATCAGAGATTTAATTACATTCAGTGTGATCATCATATCAGGTTGCAGCTTTTGAGTTCTTTTGGAATTGGAGATCTGCATGTTATCAGTCAAGAATTAAGCTAGATAACAAGCAGAGCTCGCTCTCTGATTTTTAGGATAAGTGGAAGCTTTTTGTACATTGTTGCCTTTTTGCTTCATATCGTGGAAGCTTTTTGTACATTGTTGCCTTTTTGCTTCATTTCGTGGAAGCTTTTTGTACTTTGTTGCCTTTTTGCTTCATTTCTTTGTAAAATGAAATGATTAGTTACACATTATTAACGTTATAGTTTTCAGAATAGCTTTTAACCTGATTTTGTTGCATTGAGACATATTTACACTGAAGAAAGTTGCATTTAAAAAATACTTTTCCATTCTATGTTACATTCCATTCTATACTACATTTCTTTTTTTTCAAAAGACCAAATATATATAAATGCAAGAGAAAGAAGGTTTTGAGCAGTCATTCTTTTTTTTTTT